GAGGGGAGATGGAGAAGAGGAGGGAGCAGGGGGAAAGTTGAGAGTTGAGGGGGGGCACCGGGGGTTTGATTGGGGGAGGCGTGACTTCTGCGTGGGGCAGGGGAATGCTGGGGGAGGAATGAGGGGAATAAAGGAGGGAAGGTGAAGTTCGCCATGAGGCCCTCCCGAGAGGAGGAAGAAGAGGAGGAGGAAGAGCAGCAAGGGAAACTCAAGGTGTATCGGCGATGCTGCAATATTAACCTCCTCCTCCGAAGTTCCCTCGCCTGTCCTTGTAAGGATTTCTTTTGTCCTACGCGAATCGCCCCGCCCCCCCTCCCCCCCGTCCCCTCTCCTCCCTCCTGACCGACGAGCGCTCCACGTGCCCGCGATTCCCTTGGGAGCTCCGTTTCGAAAGAATGCGCCCTAATGAAGTGCGACAGCGCCAGCTTTGAAATGAGGCGCTCTCCATCCGTGTAACTGTTGTTCAACCTTCCATCTCTGGCAACACATTTTGTTGATGCCTCCGACGAATGCCCCATTTTCACAAGGAGCCGTCTCGTGCGCGGTGAGGGGACATTGCGGGCGCTGTCGTCTGGGGAATGCGGCTGCGCCCCCCCCCCCCCCCCCCAGCGGCGGCCGCCGTTGGGGCATGGATGCCGCACCTATTCTGCGTTTTTCGGTGCTTTCCCTGCGCACGCGGTTATCTTTGTTCTTCTTCGCTTGTGACATGCGGCGGGTGGCTTTCGCCCCGTGAATCCGCCCCAATAGCGATTTTTCCAAAAGCAGTGCTTGCACTTGGCGTTCCTGTTTTTCCTCAGGGAAAACGGGCCTGCCTGTCGGTCTGGCGGCTATGTGGCCGCCGTCGCCGCCCCGTGGCTGCCGCGTTGCCGCCCGTCGTCTGGGTCTGTCTGCCCGTCTGGCGGATGTGTGGCCGCCGCCGCCACCCTGTCGCCGCGTCGTCGCCTCCACGGACTGCACCGCATGGGTTGCACGACAAAGACTGTACCGCACGGATTGCACCACGCAAAATGACCAGCCTGGAACATATCCCTATCCCTATGTTTGACATCACCTCACCTCGATGCCGATCTTAAGGATTCCCTTAGTTTTTGAGGGCCTATCCCTAAGACTGTCCTCGCTTTTTGCTCGCCCACCTTAGGGATAGGGAGGCGTTCGAGGCTGGTTATAAAATGCACGACAGATCTTGCACAACCTAGCTGGCGCCACACAGGTAGCACCACATGGACTGGGCAACGTAGATTGCACCACACCGGGTGCAAAATATACACTGCACAACGTAGACTGCACGACGCAGACGTCACCACATTGGGTGCACAACATAGATAGCACAGCACCACATGCATTCGCCTTTCGTCGAACTTTGGACCTCCCCACCCCCTGGGCCTCTCGGCCCCCCAGGGGATGTACAATTTACATTTCAGTCGGGCCCGTCCCACCACAGGGGGAGTATTCAAACATAGTTTAAAAATAGTCTGGGTATTTTCTTGAGTATTTTTGGGCATCTGTTGAGCATTTTTGGGGTATTTTTTTGTTTGTCGTCCAAAATCCCCCTGAAGGGGGACAGGCCCGACTTAAATGTACATGCGACTCTGCTCCATCGTTCATCCGACTTGTGGAGTCGCACCGCCCCAGCCATGCTGGGTGCTCCGACCCCTGCCCCCATGTGAATAACACCATGCGCACACTCGTGCACTCAAAACCATCTGTCTGCAACCCTTTACAGAAAGAGAGAGAGAGAGGCAACATGACCAAGTCCACACGCGCGCGTCGTCGCACGCACGTGCCGACATCATTCACACAACTACAGGTCCCGCAGTTTCTCCATGTTGAAGTTCCCGAACACATGTGAAACACCATTTGTCCTACAATCCGCCTTTTCGAACAACAAGTCAGTGCGCGTTTTTGCGAGTATTTATGACATGCCATCAGAGTTGCCACATGTCCATCAAATGCGACCAAGCGGGCCTCTCGCGCGAGCATGTCGGAATCAATCGGGCGCCTTTGCGCACTCGCGGGGGGGGGGTATGGTTCTTGTCAAATAGAATATATCGGGCTACTCGCTCTTGTCGGCCGCGCGCGCTCGTCGAAATCTTTCAGCGTTTCTCATCGCCGACGCGTTGACGCCATCATCGTCATCGGCGTGTCAGGGTCCCGGAAGTCCGAGAGCGGGCGCCCGGTGTGAACAAAATGCAGCGCCAGGATTTCGGGGGAGGAGCGAGGGGGGGGGGTGATAAGGAGAAGGCCTTCTCGGAAGTCCCCCGGCCTTCCCAGAGGTTTTCTAAGCCTTGTCCGAGGACACTTCTCGGAAGGCGCGAGGGCTTCTAAGAAGTCCCGCTCTGAGATGGCCCTCTCCTTCTCATCTTCCCCCCGGGCGCGTCACCGAACTTGGTCTTGGGGTCATAATTGGCGGCATAATTCGGGTCTTTGGCGGCCGTTCGGGAGGATCCGTGCCCCCCCCCCCAGGACGCTCTCGGCGAGGCGCAGCCGCTGGAACGCATCCCGAGGGCGGAAAACCAACCAGAAACTGCGAAAACGCCCGAAAACCTAGAACCTCGAGTTTCGAACCTCGAAGTTCCCCCCCCCCCCCCCCGCCCGCTCGCCGCCGATTCAGAGGAGGAGCGAGGGAGGGGCAGAGGGGAAGTAGGGGAAGGACTAACCGTGTGCCCCGGGTTATAATCATTCAGAGATAATGAAGTTCGGGGGTCTGGCGGGGATCATCAACGATTTTCCCGGGAAAGGTGATGTTAGTTATAAGTTATCATGTTGACGATGATGACGATGTTGATGATGATGATGATGATGATGATGATGATGATGATGAGGATGAGGATGAGGATGAGGATGAGGATGAGGATGAGGATGAGGATGAGGATGAGGATGATGTTGATGCTGATTCTGATGCTGATTGTGATGCTGATGATGATGCTGATGATGATGCTGATGATGATGTTGATGATGATGATGATGATGATGATGATGATGATGATGATGATGATAATGGTGATCCTGGGCGCTCGTGTAGATTGACCTTGTAGATCCAATGCTCCAATGCTCTGCCTGCTCGAAAAGCGCATGCAACATCAAAATCCAATCGGCCCCAATGGCCCTGCCACACGTTCCTGACTCGGCAACGGCTGAGAAAGTGAGAATCCCATGGCCCTGCCGCACGTTCGTGACTTGGGCAAACTGAATTGGTGAGAATCCCACAGCCTTGCCACACGCTCGTGATTGCGGAAGCTGATCTGGTGAGGCCACCATGGCCATGCTCAGCGTTGTTGATGCTGCTGCTAGTCAGCATGAGATGATCGCAACTTCGATTCGCAACTTCCCCCGTGGATTATCGAGTTCGGCCCCTGCGCCCCTCTCCACAAATAAATCCGATTGAGCCGGGATTCAAAACATAGAGGGGGGAGAGGGGGTGGTAGGCTTTACAGTCGGGACCCTGAAGAAGGAACCCTTTTGGTTGGGGAGGGGCTCCGCGTTCCTTAAGTGTTTCACAGCTTGCCTCAGGTTTTCCTTGTGTTTTCGACAGGAAGTCGAATGTTAACTTATGGAAACAAGGGGCCTCGTTCCTTATTTAGGGTTCCTTAGGTCAGCGCCCCGACTGTATTATCCGGGGCACTCGGTTAACGGATCGACCAGCGGCATCGGGGCGAGTTCACCGTGGGGCCGCGTTTGGCGGAGGCCCTCGGGCAGCGCCTCTTCGGCAGTCGCCCCGGCGGGCCCCCCCCCTGGGCAGGGTTCGAGGAACGAGGATCGAGGACCGAGGATCGAGGTTCGAGGATCGAGGCTCGAGTTTCGAGGGTCGTGGCTCGAGCATCGAGCATCGAGGTTCCGAAGCAGTAAGACCGCATATCATTGGGTTTTGGCGGTCCGCGCGGATTTCTCGGATCTGCGCTGGACCCCCCTTGGCGGCGCCGCGGGCGCCGACGCGCTCCGCGCGCCAGTGGGCTGGGGGCCCCAGCGCCGATCCGAGAACTCCGCGCCGACGTCCGACAGACCATTCCCCACCCGGCAGGGGTGGGGTTGTCAGATTCCAGAAGGCAGGGCCCCCGACCCGCCCTGCACACCCTGCACACCGCGGCCGCCTGGGCCCACGGTGTGCTGGTGCTCCCTGGAGATCACCGCCTCGCGTCTGCGTTGCGCGGCGACGGCATGCCATGGCCGCCGGGCCCCAGAGGGTGCTTCCGGCGTCCCGGGGGATCCCGCCCTTTGCGTTCTCGGGTGGGGCTCGCTCGGAGCAAACGGAGGTTTATGCAGTGTTGTTTGTTGTTGTTCTGTTGCATTTGCAGTTGGACCGAGGTATGAGATCGAGGTCGGTTCGGGGAGGGTACCCTAATGCTCGTCTTGTTTTGTTGGGATGTTCTTGTGCGTCCTGGGGAGGGTACCCTTGGAGGTTCTGTGTGTTTGGGCCTGCGGGGGGTCTCGTGTTCCTGAAGGTGTTTTCCTGTCCTGCGTCCGACCGTACTTCTTCGCAGGTGTTCCCTGGGCGACCATGCGCCATGGGAGCCCACTCGCAGACGCCACGGAGACCCGAACGACACGACTTGGACGCACATGGCGAGCGACATGTCAGTAAGGAGAGGCATGGAGTCAAGCAGTGGCGAAGCGTCCCGGCGCGCCTATAGCCTTATTCAACAATGGTATAATAACCTTTTGTGGTTTCCACGAAATGTTCTTAGAATATGTCTAGCTGAGATTGATTTGTTTTAACACATCGGGTTTATGTTCTAAGAACATTGTTTTTGTTATTCGAACATTGTGGGGTTCTAAGAACACTTCGTGGTAGGACTATAGGAATGCCGGGACGGTCGGTCCCTGCTCAATGGAGACTCAGCTCGCACGCCGTTTGTCTCCGAGGGCAACGGCGCCTCTCTCGTCTCGCCCGGGTCGGCGCGGCTCTGCTCGCGGCAGAGCCGGGCGGACGCTCGCTCGTCTCGCGGGGGCCCCACCCTCTCTCTCGAGGCGTTGGGCACGGGTGGGTCTGCGCCCAGGACAGCATGGATCTCGAGGACTCGCTCGCGGAGGCGGGCGGTCGCGGGGCCTGCGCACGGGCGGGCACGGGCCTCAGCGCAGTGAGAGCACCGGGTCTGACGAAAGAGGTGATGGCCGATTTCCCACCACCACCACCACCACTGCCACAGGCAGGACGCTGGTGCAGGCAGGACGGGGAGGTACTCCTCCTCCTTGTTCTTCTCCCCCTCCTCCTCCTCCTCCTCCTCTTCCTCCTCCTCCTCCTCCTCCTCCTCTTCCTCCTCCTCCTCCTCCTCCTCCTCCTCCTCCTCCTCCTCCTCCTCCCTCTCCTACCTATGATAGCGTTGGTGGAACATCGGCCCATCAGGAGGGGGAGGGAGGGGGACGGGGGCCCCCCCAGATCTCGGGCGAATGCTTTTTTTCAATCCTCTCGATGCTAGCCTCTCGGTGCCCCGTTCTCGGGCCCCGCGGGCCAGACATGGACCCGGGTCAGATCACACTACACCAGGAGAAAGGGGTCGGGACTTGTGGGGCCGCGTAATTATCGACTACACGTAAGAGTGACCTTTCGCCGGAGTGACCTTTGGTGCGGGCACAATTGGGTCCCCCGACCACCGATTGCGATGCGATAGTAGCGTCTGGCGCGCCTGAGTTTGGTCCCCCCGCGGCCCCCCAAAAGCCGCGCACCAAAGGTCACTCCTACCCAGGGTCACTCTTGCGTGTAGCCGAAATTATGGAACCCATCACGTCGTCGGATGTTTCGGGGTTGCGAAAATTGAGGCGTGCGGCTGGCTTCGGCCCCGCCGCTGCGCGCGATGCTGGGTGGATGGATGCATGTGCGCCTCGGGCGCCGGGAGGCGCCGTGAGGTGCAGCTGCAGGAGCCGATTCACCAGGCACCCCTTCTTCGGGTGTTGCTACAGTGGGAACCTATGCCAGAAAACACCCTGCTTGCCTCCAGGAAGCCCTGAGGTTCTTGGGTTTCGATGGTTTTGCAATGGGAAGCGCGACGCTTCCATGCCAATGGGGCGTTCGGGCTGGGTTTCTTCTGGAAGGTTTTCTGTGGTCGAGCTCCTACTGTAGAACTGCCCCTGGCCCAAGGTGCCCCCCAGGATCTCCAGGGAGGTCCCCACGGCCTCGAGAGCACCCCTCACGAGGCCCAGAGGGCCCCACGGGGCTCCACAATTGAGCGCAAAGCTGGGGGCGCCTCGGGGCAGGAGCACCTTTAGCACCCCCCACCGGAAAGCGGTGGCAATACATCCGCCATGTGAGCACGGGTCAGATTGAAAGAAACAGTAGAGGAGGGGAAGTGGACGGAAGGTGAAGGGGAAGGGCAGAGGTGCTGCACCGAGCAACTACGTTTGCTCCGGGTCCCCGTTGCCCCGACCTCGCTCCACGCCCTTACCCACCCCCCCTTCGTCCGACCTGGCAGTCTCAGCGAGCACGGCCCCCTCTCCCGCCCCTTTGGCACACGGTACAGGGCGCTCCGGAGGAAGGGCCTCGCCCTTTGAGGGGCCGGGGTGCCTCGGCTCCCCGCCGGCGGAGGGCGGCGGGAGTAAAGCGGGGCGGCTCCGCCGGCGGAAGAGAAGTTTGCCCACCAAGAGGTGCAAGCGCTTGTTTCTCAAGCAGTGGCGAAGGGTCCAGGCTTTTCCTGTAGGCCTACCAAAGAATGTTATATGAACCTTTTTGTGGGTTGCGCGACATTCTCTCAAAACATTTCTGGCTGAGATTGTCTTGTCTTCATGCTCTGGGCTCATGGTGTAACCATAATGTCTCTGTTATTCGAAATTTCTGGGCTACCAGAAAACTCCGTGGCAGGCCTATAGGAATGCCGTGACGGTCGGTCCTTGCTCAAGTTTTTCGGCGGCGAGCTTGCTTTGGGGGGAAGTGAGAGGGGGCGGGCCTTCTCAGAAGCCTCGGAAGTCCCCCTGCCTTCTGAGAAGTGTGTCGAGCCTTCCCCGAGACACACCGGCATCCTTGCAGAGGGCCCGAGGCCTTCTGAGAAGCCCCGCCGCCTCCCGAGAAGCCAGTCTCCTTGTCACGTCCCCACCCCTCGCTCGCTGCCGAAATTGAGGGTGTCCAGAACGAGCCACACATTTTCTCAGAGCCCCGAATCATCAGGGGCAACTCGGGTCAGGGCTAATTCGGGTTCGTTTTTCGGGAATCCGAGCCCGAGTTACCCCCTGGCCCGAGCTCCCCCGGATAATTTCGGGCGTCCAGAGCCCCAAATCATCAGGGGTAACTCGGGTTTGGGCTAACTCGGGTTCGTTTTTCGGGAATCCAAACCCGAGTTACCCCGGGCCCGAGTTACCCTGGATAATTCGGGCGCCCAATTTTCATGCGCGTCCCGGCCTCGGCGGCCGAACGCGGCGGTCCAGCTAGCCTTGTCCCAGGGCGGAACATGTAGACGCCGGGGCCCACTTCTCGCACCCGTGTTTGAGCCAGGTCTCCGCAGCCGCCCGCCGTGCAGTTTGGGACGCTCGGGAAAATGCTTGAGCAGTGTCCCGTGCGTTGGTGCGTGCACTTGGTCAGTGTGCAGTTGGGCCCAGCAGAGTCCTTCCAGGGACGAGCTGGGCGCGAATAAATGAGGGCGAAAATAAATGAGGGGGGGGGAGAAAAGGTGCCTTCGTCGGGCCCTGAAAGCCCCCAGCTGGGACCTTGAGGGCCCCTTTGTAGGCATCCTGACGGGCCCCAGGTCTGCAGCCCTCGCTGCCCCCCCTCGTGCATCGCCCCCCCCCCCCCCCCCCCGTTCACTTGACCGCTGTCCACACGAGGCGCCAGCCAGGATGCCGCACAACGGGCTCGTTGTCCTCACCGCCCAGCCCGACTGTTCAAAGCTGCTCCGCCTCTCCGGCCATGTTCCTGCCCGGTGCCTCCTTGTCGGAACATGCGAGGCGGCGATTTGCAGTCGGACCGATGTGTGAGATCGAGGTCGGTTCGGGGAGGGTGCCCTAGTGTTCTTAGGGTTTGTTGCATGTTCTTGTGCATCCTGGGGGAGGGTACCCTCGAATGCTCTTCATGTTGGTCGGCGGAGGGTCTCTCGTTCTTGAAGGATGTTCTTCTGTCCTAGGGACGACTGTATCCAGCTCCACTACCGCCTGGAAAACCGATCTTCCTGGAACGCTGGAGGCGGTGGATATGGACATGGGACATGGTCGCCCCCCCCCCAGGGCCACACTTATCCATGTCCACCGCCGCCTGGGTTCCTCCAAGATCGATCCCGCAGGCGGTGGTCCTGGATGAATACCCGCCTCGCAATCTCCTTCCCAGCTGCTCTCCGCAGAAGGCATCTGCTCACGACCACCGTGTCTGGCCAGAGCCAGTCTCCTGGGCTCTGGCAGGGTGTATACGCCCGCCTTGCCGAGGCCAGGAGAGTCCTTACGCCATCCCGCGGCCTCGCATGAACTCGGCCAGGCACGGCGGTGGTATATCACCTTCTGCGTACTCTCCTTCTCTGGAGGAGCCAAGAACGACATGAACACAAGACCTCGGAGGTCCGCGCGGATTTCTCGGATCGGCGCTGGACCCCCCTCTTTGGCGCGCGGAGCACGCCAGTGGCGTTGCCAGAGGGGGTCTGGCGCGGAGCCGAGAAGTCCGCGCGGACCTCCGAGGTTTCATGTTTATGCCATTGTTCGCTCCCCTAGTATCCTCCTTCTTGTGAGAACAGGGCCTGGCGCCCAGGCCACCGTAGCTGCGGTGCGTGGCTGGCACCGCCTGGGCGGGCCCCAGGCATGGGCGCTGCGGCTCCAGCCTCCACGCGAAGGCACAGCCTGCACCAGCGCTCCAGCGGCGTCCGCGGGCGGATAGCGTTCGGCTGCGGCGGCGACCCCAGCGCTGGTGTCCGAGGTTGAACGCCGCGAGTGACCCTGACGGGTCTATGTTTTATAATAAGGCATGCAGCATGCGTGCCAAGTTATCCGCTGCAACAAAGGAACGGGGCATGCTAAGGCCAGGCTTCGTTGAGCAGTGATCGTGTCATCTTGAATTTGTATGCTGCCCGCGCGCACTTCTCCTGCATGTGCCAGTGGGTTGTCTCTTCCCCTGCCTCTCCCTCCTCGCTGCCCCTCCCTTGTTTCACCTTGCCATGTCTCCGCGGCGGCCCGGCGCCCCACTGCAGCGCCCCCGCGGCGCCCTGACGCAGGCCGCATGTCCGCACGTCCACAGGCTGGCTGCTGCCAAACGATCTGCGCCATCGAGAAGTCACGGTCGTTCAAGGCTGGAAGATCCGCGCTGTGTCCGGCACCCGCGCCGAAATCATCAAGGCACGAGCTTGTCGTAGCTCGACCGGGGATTCATCCGACCGCTGCGGGTGGCGGGAGCACGCGGCGAGCTCGGGCGCGCTGCCCATCTTCTGACGGAAAGGGGGCTCTGAGGCGGCCTTCTGCGACGGACGGCCCCCGCCCGAGGACGACGAGGACGAGGACGACGACGACGACGACGACGGCGACGACGACGACGATGGCGACGGCGACGGCGACGGCGACGACGGCGAGGATAACGAGACAGGGTGCCCTTCTTGGGACTGCTGCGACGAGGAGCCAACGCCGAAGCCATCACGACTCGAGCCCGCCGCGCGCCCCTCGGCAGTGGCGCGCCGACAGGCCATCGACGGCGCACTCGGAGAGGGCCAGGGCGACGCAGACGACGCCTTTACTGCGGCCCTCGAGGGCGTGCTCGAGGGGGAAGGCATCCTGCCGACAGGCGCGAGGGGCTCCTTTCCCCCGCCGTCCTCGGCCTCCTCCTCCGCTCCCTCGTCCCCTTCTCGCCGCGCCCTGCACACGTAGTCAGATACTCCAGATTTCGTAATAAAAGGGAGGGGGTCTCAACCCTCCCAGACGAGAAGTTTTAGACCCTCCCAGACCATCCATGAAAGGGCGGCCCTTTGCCCAGACCCCCCCGAAACCTCCAAGACAGCTCAAATCAGACGCCCCCCAAATGTGACCCCCCCGACTTTATTATGGAATCCGGAGTACAGATGTGTACAAATATGCATACACACCGGCCAGGCCACCCTGTGGAGGACAAAGCGATGTGGGGGCGACGTTATGGGCGCCCCAACCAGTTCACGAGTGGGCAGGCATCGGGACATCAGGACGGGTCTCCACGTATCTATTTGCCCATCTATCGGTTCGGCCTTTTCACGTTCAGTCTACCCGCATAGTAAGGATGGGCAGCCTTTCTAAGGGTACCCTTGCATCATTGCCCCTTCGGCCCATCCTTAGCGACTTCCGCTGGCCAGCCTCGTTCGAAAAACGTTCGCATGGGCATCGAAGGCCTTTGCACCCTTACCGCGCATCCTTATGAAACGGGTTGACGGACTTCTCCGATCACTTTTTCAGGATACCAGTCGGTCTCATTGTCCGTCGATCGGGGCAACCAGCGCGGGTCAGCCACCAGGACAACCCCCTGCAGAGCTAGGGGGGCTTGGCGGTCCGACGTCGTCCCTGGGCGCATGGCCGCAGTGGGTTTTCGCGACGCCGCTCCTGCTCGTTGCTTGTTGTCGTCGTCCCCGTCCGCGACCCGCCCGCGACCCGCCCGCGACCTGCCCGCGACCCGCCCGCGACCCGCCCGCAACCCGCCCGCGACCCACCCGCGACCCGCCCGCGACCCGCCCGCGACCCACACGCGACCTGCCCGCGACCTGCCCGCGGCCCACCCGCGACCCGCCCATGTATCGCCCCCTTTTATGAAACCCTCGCTGCCCACCCATTTATCGACCCCCCCCTGCTCCCCCAACTTTTATTGTTTCTGACGTGCGGACGCGAGCGCGAGCGCAGTCGTGGGCGCTCGAATCCCCCGAACGACTCAGTTCGGGACCTCTGTGGGAGCTGCGCAACGCGTTGCGCAGCCAGGCATGCAAAAGCCTCCGCGCTGCCCCCGACGCAGGGCGATTCGCCCAGGAGCAGCGCCGCCGGGCACCGCGCCAGCAGACGCTCCCGCCAGCCGGGGCACGCGCTCCCCAGCAGGTCTGCTGCCGACGCCGCGCTGCCGCCGCAGCGCAGTGGAGGCAGACGACGTGGCCTGGCCCGCGCGCGAGGGCGTGGGGCCAGCACGAGCGCCCGGCGAAAGGCGCGGTCAGCATAATTTGGGGGGCGCGCAAGGGAGGGGGGGGCCATAAATGGGTGGGCAGCGATTGTTTCAGAAAAGGGGCCTTTTCGGGTCCAGCAGAGGGCCTTTGGAGCTCGAGAGTTGCATCTCTTTCTCCCCCGTCATGTATCGCCGCCCAGTAATTCACTCCCGGATGTGGGCGCATCATCACCGCTCCGGCGCGGGCAGGTCGGCGCTGGCGTCGCGCGGCCGACGGGCGCGTCGGCCGGCAGGGGCGTCGCCGGTGCGCCGTTGCGGACCCCGCGCCCGTCGCGCTAGCCGCGGCGCGCAGCTGGCGGCGCTGCTGCGAGGGCAGCCTGGTGCGCGGCAGCCATCACGCACAGCGTGGCCTCCAGCAGCTCCAGATTCGGTGGTTCAAAAATGGGTGGGCTGAGGGATGGGGTCCTAAGGATAGGGAGGGAATGAAGCGTGGATTTGCATGGTCTGAGGCGCCTCGTCCTCTGGACCCCATCCCTCAGGACACCATCTTTGAACCACTGGCTGATCCCAGCGGCGGGCGCGCACCTCGTCTGGCGGCGGCGCCCTGCTGGCAGCGGCGGCACTGGCGTTGCCGTCGGCCTGCGCGTTGCCGTGTTGCCCCACTAGTATCCGCATCCGCGGGGCCTATGATACAAGCACACATACATAGAGAGACACACGCGTCGGTCTTGGTGCAGTCGGTCTCACGCTTCTCGCCATTAACGTATTTGCCGACTTCACTGTCTATTCGGACAACCGTTCTAGATATCTACCAGTCTACCTTATGGACCCATAGTTGTCCACCCATCCCACCGCGAACATGTATGCCGATCTTACGACCGCCAGGATAACCACTCAGATGAGTACCCGATCTGTCCGTATCACTATCAATCTTCCTGAGATGGCTCCGCCAGCCGGGGTGACGGCGCGTGCGAGGAGCGGCCGTCCTTGCCTAGGCCTCCGTTTTGGTATCGCCTCAGACGGCGACGAGGCGGCCGATGCGGCTGATGCGTTGCGTGCGCCCTGTAATGTGGTTGCCATGCTGCTGAAATCCTGGCCCTACTTCAGTCACTGCGCCAGCGCACCGAGCACGATCACGCGTGTTTCGATGCCACTAATGGCTGTAGGTCTCAGTGCTTCATGCGATCTTTCTTCAGTGCGTCTGTGCGGCAGTATCTGGGAGGTGATGGCAATGCCGCTTCCCGGCAACAGTGCATGTGCAGCCAGGCGCACCCACTGCCGCGCGGCTGGGCCGCGTGCTCGTTACAGCCTCCATTCGATCTGTACCAGGGCTGGACCTAAACGGTGTTTTTGGCGATTTCGTGGGCCGTTTTCGTTTCGACTTCGTTTTGCGGTAAAGGCGGATTCGGGACAAAAGCGAGGGAAAACGAAAACAAAACGAAAACGAAAAACACCGTTTAGGTTCAGCCCTGATCTATACTGCACTGGCCTTACGGTCGCTGCCGCCGGCCCTGGGGGCGGGACCTTTCCCGGAATCCCCGCTGGCGCCCCCCCCTGGGGACTTGCCGGGGCCCCCCCCAACCCAACCCCCCGCCGCCCCCCCCCAGGGAAGTGATAGAGGGAAGGGAGTCGACTTGACTGCGACGTTCCTTGTCCTTATTCCTCCATGTCCTTGGGACTGACGACGCTGACGACGACGACGGCGACTCAAACGGAAAAGTGTCCCACACACGCCGAAGGGTCGGTGGATTATTTCTCTTGGCGAGAACGGCTATGGAAGCATGGGTAGGTTAGCTTCTCATTTTGTGTAGATTTGTGAAACGACGGGATTGTATGAGCTCGCAAGCACGATACATTGCACCGCTATCTGTTCTTGAAGGGGAGATCTGCCCAACGCCCCAGTGGCAGGGTCCGCATGGCGGCATCGCACCCATGTCGGCACACCCCTCACAAGTTTCGTGGTCCCACCCTTCACATGTATCGTGGCCGCATTGGGCGGTCGGGACTGGTTTCCCAATGCACCTGGGTGCGTAGGATTCTGTCGTTCCTGCACGCAGAGACCTGGGAACATGCGCACGAGCAGATGGCGAATCCGTGCGAATATGTCTGTAGTGCTCGTTTGTGAGGTGTCCCACATCTTGCTCTCGTCGTTATGATGTGAGGCCGGCCTTGCGCAGCAACAACCCTCTGGCCACGTCGTCGAACGTGCTGAGGTCTACCTCATTCTCGTGCACTTTTCATAGGCCTGCGTCGAACCTGACGAGCCAATGTGTCATGCATTCACCGTGGCGGCGGTGCTCCTGTGTACAATCGAAAAAGTCATCGGGTGTCTCGTCCTTCTGTACTGGCTCTGCTGGCCCAAGCTTCTCTCCAGATGTTCGAGATCATTGTCGATTCCTTGCTCGTTCCTGCTGCGCTTCTTCTCGTCACTGCAGGTGCAGTTCCATCTCTTCCATGTTGATCGCGGCCGAGGGTGCGGTACTCTGCGTCACCTCCAGGTTCGCGCTGAGCGTCCAGAGCTTTACCTCATTCATGCTTGTAGTTTTGCCATTTCGCTGGGTCGCCGTTCCAGCTGGCAATGACCGACTGGCTTTCGTAGGGAATGTGGTTGTCCGTCAGCGTGTCCTGGTGACTCGTGCCTGTCGCTGAGCACCGAAGGGACGATGATAAAGGAATTCTCGATGTCTGTCGTTGTGACATCGAACCCGTGGGCTCCGCAGAAGCCCTGGGATATTGAAAAAATGAACTCAGCGGCTTCGCTAAGATTCTGGGAGGTTATGAAATTGAATTCGGCGGCTTGAATGAAGTTCTGGGAGGTAATGAAATTGGACTCGTGGCCATCGCTGAGGTCTAGAGGACGGGTAGGAAGTTGAATTCGGCGGCTTCGCTGAAGTTCTGAGAGAACAGGAAAAAGATCAGGACGTATCTGACACTGGCGGAGTGGGGTAGGTACTTGGGCTTGCTAGCGTCGTTGACGCCGGCGACATAGAGCAGCAGCAGCTGCGAGCAGGCACTGGCCTTTGATTTCATGATAGGTGTTGACTGCGTCGTCGTAGCTGTCTCTTTCGCCCGCTGGGGCGGCTGGATGTGAACGGCCCGCAGGCTGGCATAGCCGAGCCTCGCTCCAAGCTGCCACTGTGGTATGCAAGAGCGTTGATCGTTCGTTTGCACTCGCGCGGCGAGAAACGCCCGCGGGGAATTAGGGGTTACAAAAGCACTGGGTCGCGCAGCTGGCCAGGCAGGGGGCAGAGGCAGAAGCTGGCGGAAAAGACATGAATCACACCAAGGAGTGAGCTGGCGAAGTTGCGTGTAGGAGTAGAGCGTTTGCAGCTCATCACGTAAGCCTGATCGCACTCGTCGCCGGCTGACTGAGCCGAGCCTTCGTCATTTTGGCGTTGTGGGTGGGCTTGCTGACGCCAGGCAATGAGCGTAATAAACAAATCGGTTCTGCTTACTCTTATTCCTCCTCTCTCTCCACTCCCTCCCCCTGCTTCCCCCCGTTCACTTGGCATTTGGCATGCCAGCACGCGTGTACTTGCCCATCATGGTCACGCGTACTCTGCGAAAGTTGCCACCATCACCATCGTCGCTGTCAGCATCGCTATGACGATGTAACGAAACAGCTGTTCTTTCTGGACCCACCTCTGCATCCCAAGAGCTTCTCCGCCCCCTCG